CTCGAATAATTTCCTTGTTTTCTCCTAGCTCTAGTAATTTGAGATTCTGTGTAATATTTGAACTTTATGAGACAGGCAATCCAGTTGGGAGTCAACCTACATCCTAGAGACAAAGCAACTTAAAAATATATATATATAAAATATAGATTTATATGATATAATAAAATAATATAGAATATATAGGTATTAATATATTAGATATATAATGTATCTATTCAAAATTAATATATTAATATCTATATTATATATTATTTTAGTATATTTATAAATATAGATTATATAATATTATATAATTATATAATATGCTAAAATATATAATATATAGATATTAATACATATTAGATATGTAATAATATCTATTATATATATTTAAAATTGCTTTATATAGACAAAACTTTGATGGAGCATCCAGAAAATTAGAGTAATGTGCAGAACTTCTGAATTTAACTGCTACTTAAGACAGGATTTTTGTAAACTTGAGGATGACGCGTTTGGAGAAAAATAGAATTGATGTGGCATCTCTTAATCTTAATTGTAGTTTGATCCTTTATCCAGGATCTTTACAAAGAAACTTTGAGGTTTTAATGAATATTAACAATTGACAAACTAGAGCCAGGTCCTTGGGAAGTTGGATATTTTGGGGTCTTCTGGAGAGTTAAATTGATTATTGTGACCATTTGACCTAGTTTATCCTCCACCTGTGGAATACAATCTCATTCTTCAGATATATTTCATTGATAGAATCTTGTTAAAATGTAATATCCTTTTATATACTGAGGTTTAAAGTTAAACAAGTTTCTTGCCTTTAGATACTCAAGTGATGCTAATATAGTCTTTTTATGGATGTTCCTTATCCTATAACATTATCTTTGTATCATATTTTATATAGTTTTTCTATCCACTCTTACATTTGGTCATCACAGCAAACTTCTCTGAGAAGCTGGAGGTAAAATGCTCTCTCAATTTTAGAGAAGAAAAACTAGATTCAGGTGCCAAAGTCACATGACCCCATCCCCAGTTATTTTGTCATGCTTTTCATTACCAATAAATGGATGAGTTTGTTCCACTATTCAAAGGGCATCTTGCTCAAGGCTGGTGTACATTTGCAAGTTCCTTACTGACAGCCAAATATTGTCACCCTATAGGGAGTTACTCAGAGAAACACAGTGTGAATGATTAATCTATATGCTGCCGAAGGTTGTGAATAATTAAAAGGATACTTTGGAAAATAATATTTTATATATTGTCATACAATTTTATTAATGTTTCTGATAAGTGTAAAATATGTGAGAAGTGTTGAGGTAGATTTAATGAACTGCAGAGTTGGAAGAGGATGAACACCCCAGAAAGAGACAACTTATAAGGATAATCTGAAAGAGTTGAAACAGGAATAACCAGAGAAATTTACAGACCAATTACATTGTCCATGAGTGTGGTTTGTTTTCTGAAAGTTCAAATTTCTCAATTTAAACACTCAATTCAATTCTATCCCCTTCAAATAAGTCATCTTGAGAGGCTATATACTTACTCCATTCGTGCTGCTTATTAATTGAATTATTTCAAGAACTTCTCTTTTATAATTGCTTTCTGAAACAGACACTTTCTTTTAAATATTCTTAATGGTGTTTTAGATAAAGTCAGAATTACTCAGGGCCATGTCTGGTGAAAAGGTGGGTGTAATTTATTTTCCTTACTTTCTTTTTATCCTTCCATTTCCCTCCCTCCCTTCCTCTCTTCTTTCTTTCTTTCCTCCCCTCCTTACTTTGAAAAAAGAGATGAGACCAGATTTTGTTGTACGTCTTATAAACTTTCTCTGAAGACTCCAGAAATTATTCTAAATAATGGAAGGTTGCTGTAACAAGAACACATTTTCCAAGTTAATTATGTTGGTGTGTAAATTCTAGTTTGTGGGTTTAAAGTATTCAGTCTTGTGGTTTTGTAATAATATTTCCCAGAATGAATTCTACGGGACTTTTGATTAGAGTGTTGGAGTCGTTGCCCACTATAGGAGACCCGAATGCTTTCTCTGTGCTAGTGATGGACTTGGGTGAGCAGCTCTGGGCAGGGCTGAGGAGCAGGGCAGGGAATGGAGCAGAAGTGGTGTGGAGTATTGAGTTGGCTTAGGGTGCTACACGTCCCTGATTGGAGGCATCCAGAGAGAGTGGTCAGGGTGGTATGGCAGAAAACTAGAAGCCATGGAATGTAATGGGGACCCCCCAAAACTTGGAATTTACTTATTTAAAAATTCTGTATTTATTCTTACATGTTTATACTTCAGTCACCTTCAAGGTACTCTCCATTTGATACAATACACCTATAGAGACACTTTGTCCACTGCGCAAAACAGTTTTTGAACTTGTCAGTTTTGATGCCTTTTAGTGCTTCTGCTGTTTTTTTTTTTGTTTGTTTGTTTCACCTCTTCCACATCAACATTTCCATTTGAGGAATTTTTTCTTTTCTGGGGAAACAACACCAAAAAAGTTGCTTGAGGCATGGGGGTCATGCCATTTTTGGGCAAAAACTGCTGAATGCACATCATGATATGGGGAGGTTGTTCATGGAAATCACCCATCATGAAATTGGCAAACACTTTGAAAGAATCTCAAAAAAATTTTTTCACTGAAGCTGAACACAGCCACTCACATAAATACTAGCTGGAACACTGATGCTGATGAGTTCCTGGAATACTTATCTATCAGGGGAAGACTGTAGTACAAAGGGGCCTGCCCTCCAAAAGCTAATGAGGGTTTTGGTCCCATCTCATATCATGGCTATGTAAGGACCTGGGGATGCCAGGCCTGATGTCATGTTTGAGAATCAGGGTGGTGTGGTGGAAAGGACATGGGACTGGGAATGTTGCTTAAAATATTACTTCTGCTCCCAACTAACTGTAACATTTGGGCAAATAATTTAACCTCTCCGTGCTTATTTCCTAATCCATCGAGTTAAAATTATAGAACTAAATGAGCTCAAGGTTTCCTTAAAGATTAAAATTGACTTTATTAGGGATGGATGATAAATGTCTTCAAATACTTGAAGAACTCTCATGTGGAAAAAGGATTAGACTAAGACTGTAGAATCTCTATGGAGGAGACAAATATCAAAGGATTGCAGGGGAGCTAATTTTAACCCTAAGTTAGAAGGACTGTCCAACACTGAGCTGGCTACCTTGAGGATGGAGGGAATCATGGATGAGTTCCCCATCCATGGAAGAATTCAAGAAGACTGAGAAGGCCAATTTTTATGTTGTTTTAGAAGGGAAGCATAAACAGCAAGAAGTGGTGGGCTGGTTGATTATAAAGGTCTCTTTCAGTTCCAAGATTCTAGGAATTTCTATGCCTTAGGTGGTCTTCTGTGCCCTTAATTGTGTTTGTGATGCCACACAAGACCTGGGAATGACAGGTGTAGACGTCCTAGGCAGTTCTAGAAGTGAGAAGTGACACATGAAGGTTTGGTTCATGCTGCCTAGACATCTTTAGAATTCCTAGAAAAATATGCATCCTAGCAACCTTGTTGTTTAACCTAATGTTACGTGAAAGACTTGAAGAAGAGTCTCCCAGAGTCATTGAATGAGAGTAGCTAAAAGAGGAACCTTTAAGCTTCCTCTCTTAGCATCCTCACTGCAATTGTTAAGATTGTCCCTTCATTTCTTAGCAGGGATACATCTCACAAGCCGCATCAGGCCCCAGGCTCCAGAGTAGCATGTCATGTGAACACAGAGCTAATCATTATTGATTCCTTGGGCCATTATGGTAAAGGGACATTAATTACCATCAGCCCAGTTGCACTAACGTAGTTGTAATGAGCACGCCTGTGGGAATTCCCAATGAGGGAACTGCTCATCAGATCACAGCAACCAGCAGGAGAATGAGGTGGGCTGGGGTGCAGGTGTCCAGGAGGAAGACAGTTTCATTGGCCTAACTCTAGTTACCTCCAGAGTTTCTGCTAATTTATGCACTGGTGCCCAAAGCACTCTGTGAAATGCCTCTCCCTTTTTTTCCTACTCCCTGGTATGTTCTCTTCCCTATACACAGTACAATAGTCCTGGTTTCCAGATGCATCTGGTGGTACCAGATCCCTGCTTATTGGACTCATCTCACAACTCTTCGAAGTGTGGGCCAGGCTTGGTGGCTCAGCCTGTAATCCCAGCACTTTGGAGGGCCAAGACGAGTGGACTGCCTGAGCCTGCAGTTTCAAGACCAGTCTGGGCAACTTGGCGAGACCTCATCTCTACAATAAATAAAAAACTTTCCAGGCGTGGTAGTGCGTGACTGTAGTTCTGGCTACTTGGCAAGCTGAGGTGAAGGATCGCCTGAGCCCAGCAGGTCGATGCTGGGGTGGCTGTGAGTGTGCCACTACACTCCAGCCTGGGCGACGGAGTGAGACTCCAACTCAAAAAACAGAAGTGTAGGCTGGGCAAGACTTCATTGAGTTAAAGAGTATGTGCATATCTTTGGGATGAAGAGAGACCCTAAGTTCCTACATGCCACCTTTCTTAGTAGAAAGTTGACTTTGTACATTCCTACTTTCTTTTCTTGTCTCTACCATCTCCACCCTTTAATTTGCCTTCCTTTCTGAACAATAATTGTTAACACTTAATGAGGGTTTACTATGCACCAGGCCTCATGGTAAGTGGTTAACCTAAATTGCCTCATTTAAGCCTTACAAACTTACTGCGATTACCCCACTTTTTGCAGATAGGAAAAAACACTGAGGTTCGAAAGCCAAGTAATTTGCTCAGAGTCCTAGCTATAGTCTGAACTTAAACCAAACTCACTTGTTTTATATTGTTGTATTCTTTTTGTATTTGGTTCCTAGTATATGAAAACATGGATGGCTCTTGCATAATCAAATGGCAATTGAAGGAGTACCAAGTTTGGTAATGTTATCTGTATCTCTATTCACTGACCTGTCTTCATCTACCTTCCTCTCTATATACCACCTTTCTCTATATATACCTTCTTCATACTTTTAATCTTCCTTTTATTTTATCTTTACAGGTATCTGATCAATGTCACTTTTGAAGGGAGAAATCTGTCCTTCAGTGAAGATGGCTACCAGATGCACCCGAAACTGGTGATAATCCTTCTGAACAAGGAGAGGAAGTGGGAGAGGGTAGGACATGTCTTTGGCAATTTTTGAGCAAAGTAGAGGGGTAGGGATGTAAAATTTTGCAATACATTAAAGAAAAACAGGTCCTTGGTTTTCATCTTTAGATCTGTGGAACAAGAGATGAATACTTGGAGAACACAGAAGTCATTTATCAGACTTACATCTTCATTTTCCTGCTAATTTGGTTGATCAAGAGGTTGTTTTCTTTCTGTATTACCATTTAATCTTGATAATTGCATTGCTGTCTGCATGATGACTTTGTTTTCATGGAAGCATATGTATGTACAATATAACATAATTTGGCGGAAACTGAATCAGTGGTACAATTCAGAAGTTGTGTTCTATACAGTATCTGGGGAGGCTTATAGAATAATTTACTATCAGACAGGTTTAGATTTACTGTGATAGAAGAGTTGCCATGCAAGACTCTGCTCAGGATTTCTCTTATAGCCAGCTGCTCATGATATTTTAAATTTTACCATCAGAAATTAATCTCTGTGAATGCCAAATCTACAATTCACTAACTTGTCTATTTAGGACCTTGGGCAACTACTCTGTGCCTTTGTTTTCTCATCTGTAAAATGGAGATAATAATCATAGCATCCACAGGTATGAGGATTAAATATATTAATAGACGTAGATTATTCAGAAGTGTGCCTCGCATGTATTAAGCACTCAGTATTATCTTCTATAATTACTCTAAATTCCTAGAGAATGTTCTTGAGAGCAACGTCATCATTGGTATATATCTAAGTATATTCTGCAGAGTCCTTGTCCCTTGGGATACTTTGCTGAAAAATATTTCTACAGATGAACAAGGTTGGGAGATGCTGCTTACTGTTTCTCACTCTAGGAGAGTCTCAGGACATATTAACACTTGAAAGTCCAGAGGTATCTTATAGCAAAGAGACATCTTTATTTTATTTAATATGGAGTTTCCTGGAATCATTTTACTCCATGACCCCTTTGTTCATGATATTCATATTCTGTGAAAGCATGTTGGGGAACTGGTTTGAGAAAATTGCCACAGACTCCACGGGCCAATTGGCAGAGAACAGTTTTTAAGATGTCAGTGTGGTTCTGACTAGAATGGAAACTAAACTATACATTTCTGGAGTCAGTAGCCAGGAAGAGTTCAGAGAGAAACTTCCTGAAACTCACAGTCTGAGCAGCTAGTTATGTGACTGTTCACCTGGTAAACCAGGCCTGTGTGGCTAAGGCAGTAGAACCCAGGACTTAATTCTTCAAATTGACGGGCTTTGATGTAGCATGCATTTCCTCTTGCCAGGGCGTAGCCATAAGGCTTAAGTAATGCCTGATTCTTGATTAAAGCTACACTCTCTCCACTGAGTTATCATTTCTCTAGAAATGGTTGTTCCCTGGGTTCCTGCTTTCCACCCCAATCAAGCTGCTTTCACTACTGCTGTAGCGACGTCATAATTTAAGAAGTGTTCTGGGCCCCTCATGTATAACAGACACTTCTGTCTCTCTTCAGAAGAGGAGTTATTAATAACTGAGACTTCATAGTAGCTCATAAGATGTCCAGCTGGGGCAGCTTTTATGCAGTAGACTCATGATTACTGTCTCAAGCAGGAGGCATTTCACAACTATTCTTTCTTAAAGAGACACCACTTACCATCCTGCTGACTCCTTTTCCTGAGGGTGAAATCTGAGGCCTGTGCCCCCTCCCCTTTTCAGAGCTAGACCCTCCCTCCTGAGATCTGGATCCTTTCCTTCACCAATTCCAGTTTTATTCTAGCTCTGAAATTTATTCTTTAGTTTGCATATGATCCAAGAACTATGCATTGATGCCCCAAATGGACATCTTATGAGCTACCTATGAAGTCTCAGTTATTAATAACTCCTCTTCTGAAGAGAGATTATTTATTTTTTAAAAAATAAACCTCATTGTCCCTGACACCTGCCTTTATCCATTCAGATCAGTCCTCCTGATGGCTGCTAGAATGATCTTCCTAGAGCACAACTTGAATCGTGACACCAAACTCAAGACTTTTGTGCTTTATGGATTGGGTCTAGACTTTATTCATTCTTGCACTCAAGGCTCTGGTCTACTTTCCCAACTTGTCTTTTCTTCCTTGTGGTTTCCTGTCTCACCGTCAAACTATCCTGGGCTCCTTTCTCATCTGAGACTGTGTCTTGATGTGTTCTGCTCCCTGTATATGTCATGATCTTTCTTCCTGGAATAAATGGTCCAATTATACAAATCATGACTATTCTTTGGATCCAAATTAAAATGTTACTGCTTCTTTCCCTGACTTTTGACTAAGATGTAACCTCCCACTCCCTTGTTCCCTGTAGCTTTTGTCCACCAGCCTACGGTAGCACTCATGGCATCTGCCTTGTGTTAGAGTTATGTGTGTGCATGCTTTCAAAGGGCAGAGGCTGAGTCTTTATCTCATCGTGTCCTCACAGCAACCTGGAAGAGTGCATTGCATACAGCAGTTCAATAAATATTTGTGGCATGAATGAGAACCATTACATAATGAGACAGTTCAAAATCTATCATTAAGAATCCAAGTTTATGCTACTGCCCTTGATACAATCGCTGTTATTTGGGGGAAAGGGGGAGGATAAAATCTTTATGTAGATTGAATTTGTATAGATCCTACTTTAAATGTACTAAAAGAAACTTGCTATTTAAAGGAATTCTGTGGTTAATCTTTTTGTAAAGCATTTAGGGGGTTTGAGAAAATAGAACATTTTTATATTGACTTGGTTAAACCAAGGAGCACTTTGAAAGAGAGATGTCTGGTGTTCACTGAGTTCACAGAGCCAAGCATTTCCCCCTCTCCCAATTTGGAAGCCCTTGTTAGGGCTCACCTGTGGGTTGGGGTGTGGGGAGGTGGCAGGAGCCAAGCTCAGCTCTAGGGGGTGTGGTGAACCTGCACTGTGGAAAGTTGTCCCTGTCCTTCCACTGTTACCCTGGCCCCCAGGATATCATTCTCAAGATGCTTGATGGTGCTCCTGAAGTCCTCTGTGGTCCAGGGAGGATTTAGTGTCAGTGGACTCCAGGCAGGCACCAGAGTAAAGACACTACAGGGAGAAGTCGGACATTGGAAAGATAAGCAGGGAAGGCATCTGGATTTGTGGAAGAAACACGGGCTTAGGACAGGACTCTCAGCTACTAGTAGACCACAAACTAGCCGTGACACTTGCTTTTTTCACTTTTCTCCATCTTTCTCTCCTTATCTCAAAAGTGATGATATAAGACTAAGAGACATTTAGAGTTCTTTCTAGTGCTAACTTCTGGGATTGCAAATTCTCCTTGTAAATAAATAGATGCCTGAAATGGAAATTGGGCAAGGGCTGGAACACACGAAGGAACCTGAGATTGTTTAGAAGAGCAGTTGCTCTCAGGGCATGTTTGTCATTCTTGTCATTTAGGTAAATATCATTTCTCTAGAAAGGACCTTCCTGGTGATGCATGGTGAGGTGGTCACCCAGTCATTCTAACAGTGGATTTTAATCTTCTTCAATAGACTTGTTTTCTGGTGTTCTGCTTATTTGCTTGCTTGTTTTGTTTATTATCTGTCTCTTCACAGCAGAATGAATGCTCATGGGAATAAGGACCTTTTTCACCTCCATAATTCTGACCCTTCAGAAAAGCACCTGACTCAGAGTGACTACTCAAAAGATAATTGTCAAATAAATGAAGAATTCTTTTGCTTAGGAGAGTTAGAATAATGACCAGCTATTTCACTTCTACCTCCAAAATACTCTTTTAGACAGAAAGGTTTACTGGGGACAGCATGAGAACAGGTTCTTTTTCTACCTCTGGGGTGAGCAGGGAGGTTTGACATCCAGTGTGTACGTGTATGCATGTGTGAACAGCTTTTAGCAAGGAGCCTCGAGGCAAGAAAGATTCATTAAGTTGTTGGTGTGAACTACGTGATAGGATTTCACAATGTTCCTTCAGGTTCGTAAAAGTAGTCCCAATGCTACCGTCTTATAAATTTGGTTCCTTTGGAAAGACTTGAAGTCAATGCGACATAGTCTGTGGTTTTGGAAATCAGAAAGAACTGAGTTCAGTTCCCCTATGTTGGCATTAATCAACCGTGTAAACCTGAACCAGTGACTGATATTACCCGAGTCAATATTTTCCATTTGTAAATTAGAGTTTTATATAAGGCTGTTGAAGAGATTTCATAGTCAAAAACCAGTTAATAGTGACTGAAATGTTGTCGGTATTCCACAAATGTCAATTGGTAGTCACCACCCTTCGTGTTTAGTTTTTTTAAGGCAATATTTGCACATGATAAAAAGTCAAATGGTATAAAAGGGTATCCAATAAAAAAAAAACCCTCTTCTCATCTATGATCCTTAGTTCCCCTCTCCAGAGCAGTACTGCTCTCAATTTCTGGAATCCTCCCCAGAGCAATTGTTGTTGCTAATTTTTTATGTATTCCTCTGAAAATACTCCAAACATAGACAAATTTGATTGATTTACCTAGCCTTTAAAAAAAAAAAAATGATATCTCTGCTGCTGTGAACCTTTAATGGGATCCTATATAAGTAACCTCTAAAAGGCATGGGATCAGAATAGCCAACAGACCTCCAGATCAGAATTATATTCACAGAAAGCCAACAAAATCTCTCTGGTATGTAGGAATGTGTAGAAGGACATTTAAAAAAGAAATATTGTACACATACACATATGAACACCCCAATATGCATGCAGACATAACCTGGTAAGGCAAAATGGGTTGGGAATGGTGGAAAAATCATTGTGTGCAGAGTAGGCTCATTTGTAAGACTTTCTAAGTGGGGGACAGCTGCATAAACCAGCATTAAAAATAGCCTGGCACAGAGAAGCAGTTCCAGCAAGCTTTAAGTCTTCTGTCTCTATCAGAGCCTTTCATGATTTGCTTCATTGCTGCTGCTCTCTGCTTCCATTTAATCGTTCCTAAAATGGGGATAATAAAAATGAAATGCAGTGGGGGCGTGTTCTGAGTAATGACTTCAAGAAATGATGATGGTGCATT